CGGTGACTAGGCATACGTAGTACGTGTCCCAACCATCTCAGTTGATGAAGGTTCACAACCGTGTCAACTGATTTACCTCTTCTCCCCAAAACTTACACCTGACTTCTGCATTACTCACTTGGTGACACCACGGAATACGTCCTATACTACGATGGCAACGGTGGTCAAACACCTGAAGCCTTTTTATATCTTCCACTTTCAATGGCCATGTTTCACAGCCATACAGTAGAACAGATCGGACTGCTGTGCAGTACACGCGACCCTTAATAGACAAACGGATATCACGGCGGCACCACAGGTGGTGCAAATTGGCCACCAGGGCTGATCCTACTTCCCAGGTAAGTGAAGTGGTCAACACACTCAACTACTTCACTTTCTATTGTTAGCCGTGGTACCACTGAAGACCAGTTCTGGAGCAGCAATTTGCATTTGGGTGGTGAAAATCGCATCCCAAACATTCTCAAATTCCCACTCAAAGTGTTCAGAAGACTCTGCATCTTGTCAGCGTCTTCACCTAACAGGACTATGTCATCTGCATATTCTAGATCTAAGGAAAATTCACCTGTGATCCGGTCAACGTCTTTGTAATTAGGTGACGAGAGGGAAACCTCCATAAGAATATCTATGATAAAATTAAATAAGAATGGGGATAGTGGGCATCCTTGACGGACACCACTTGATGAGTATAGCTCCCTGGACAACTCACCATAGGCTCTAACATGCCCACAAGTGTTCGAGTAGAGAGCTTTCAATAAGGTGATGTACTTACTAGGCACGCCTTTCAGTGACAGACATTGCCATAAGACTTCTCGATCAACGGAGTCAAATGCCGCCTTCAGGTCGAGAAATACAGCTATTGTCGGGCGTCTGTAAGCATGCCTATGTTCCAGGACCTGGCGCAGTGTGAATATTTGGTCGATACATCCACGGCCAGGTCTAAAGCCTGCCTGGTTTTCTCGGGCTTGCTGTTCCCGAGCTCCACTCAGGCGTCGGAGAATTATAGAACTTAGGATCTTAGACACTATGTTCGTCAGGCTGATTCCTCTGTGGTTATCACAAGAGGACTTCTCGCCTTTCTTGAAGACTGGGATGATAGTGACTTAGACCAGTCGGAGGGGATCGTATTTGATTCCCATATACTGGCTAACACTTCCGTTAGCCTGACTAAGAGAACTCTACCACCATTCTTGTATACCTCAGCAGGTAGTCCGTCTGGTCCTGCTGCCCTTCCCGTTTCAGGCTACCTACCGCTTTCTCAACTTCTTCTAGTGTTGGGGACCTGTCTCTATGTCCCATTCAGGGTCCGACTGGATAGCGGGCAGCGCAATGGTGGCTGGAGGCCAGTTAAACTGTTCCTCAAAGTGTTCTGCCCATCGTCCCAGTCGCCTTCCCTGCGAGTGAATCGCCGATCCGTCCTTCTCCGCTATAACCTCACTAACTGTTGTTGACCATTTCCCCCCAGTCTCCTTAATAAGTCTAAATAACTGTCTACTGTTACCGATCGCCGCTGCCTTTTCCATCTCTTTAGCCTTTGCTGCCCACCACTGTTCACGATCGTTGCGCAGACTTTTCGTCAGTTTATTTTTAAGTTGCGCTCGCTCTTCATTGTACTCAGAGCCTGCAGGGATGCATTCACGTGCATCCATTAGTTTGGAAGAAGCTGCTGATATCCACTGGCTCTTTTTAGCCATTATCTTGGAGTCGGCTACAGTCTCCAGTGCTGCTTTTACAGTAGACTGAAGATGGCACCAAGCTTCTTCTGGATGAGTGACAGTCTTTTGTTCCGATAACTGCCTAGCCAACTTCTCACTGAACACGGCTTTGGTGTTTTCGTTGTCCAGCAGAACTCGTAGTGGTTTTGTTGCCAAATTTTTTCTACGTCCATTGAGACGCAGGCATATACGTGCTCGGACCAACGCATGATCGCTGTCCAAACACGTACTCCAGAAGGAGCGGCAGTCTTCCACCGATCCTCTCCAGCGATGACTAATAGCAATGTGGTCTATCTGTGTCCATCGCTGAGTCGAGCTCGGTGGACGCCAGGTCAGACAGTGCCTTTCTTTATGTCTGAAATTTGTGCTGGCTAAAAATAGGCGGTTATCTGAGCATAGTTGTAATAGGCGATCACCGTTATCTGTACGTTCAGCTGGGATTCCGAAAGTGCCACCTAAGTGCCTTTCTGCCTCACTCAGTCTACCCACCTGTGCGTTGAGGTCACCTGCAACAACCACTACGTCCGAACGTTTGGCTTTCGAGAGGAGGTTAGACAGTTTATGGTAGAACTCGTCCTTCACTTCATCCGAACTACAGTCAGTGGGTGCGTAAGCAGAGATTACAAAGAGACAACGGCGAGTCTCACTATTCCTTTTAGTTCTCACTGTGCCGTTCAGCCTCATAGCGCAGAGGCGACTATCAACTGGGATCCAGTCTAGTAGTGAGTTTTCTGCCCTGGTGCTTAATGCTATACCTACACCTGCAAGACCACGAGAGCTAGCTATCGAATCTCCAGAAACTCGAAGGGTGAATTTTGCAGATTCACCAGATTGGTCAGGAGAGGTCAGGTGAATAACCACACTTGGGTCCTGTATGCGTGTCTCACAAACACAGCACACATCCATGCCCGAGTTGCTAGAGTCTTTGCCAACGAAGCCTGTTGGCCAATTTGACGGAGGGTGCGGACATTGAAGGCTCCAATATGTAATTTGGAGCGTGGTTTAAGGAGACCAAGGATGCTGTTCTGTGGACTCAGATCGTTGTCGAAGGCTGCAGAGGTAGGAGAAATTGAAGATGATGCAGCATCATTAATTAAGAGACGTGAAGGAAGATTAGAAGGTAATGATGGAGGAGGAGGATAGCAGTCAGAAGAAACTTGGGTGCTGACAGAGTTGTGAGGGCGGTTGACACTTCCCGGCTGCCCACACCGTGGAAGGCTATTTCTTCTTAAGGTACCTGAAAGAGATTTGTGTGACCGCAGAGCCCATCGGACATCTGCTTGAGGCCTGTCACACCCAGCCTTTTGAGTATGATTATTTTGAATTTTTGTATTTTTGGGGCCGGATGGTCGAAAGGAAACGACAAGTGAACCAACACCGGCAGACCGTGGGGCGTGGTGGAGTGTGTTATTTTTGGGGCCGACCTTTTCTAACCCCCCCTTCCACTGAGAAGGCAGCATCAGCTTGGCACTGCTGGTCATCCAAGGGAAACACCTTACTGCTGTCACACCCCATCCAGCTAGCAGCAGTACGACTTCGCCCTCAGACCCCCATCATAGTGTAGCAATTTACACCATAACGGTAACTGCTTTTCGTCTAACCACTACCCAACAGACCTTTCTGGTATGGTAGGACCTCGAGGGAACAAGCGTTCCACCAGCATAGCTCGTTGGGTCATTGTGATATGCAAGCCCGACCACCACGTCCAGGTGGCAGCTATCGGTCGGGCTTCGCACTAAACGCAAACAATTGTAGATGGCAAAAGAAAATGTAGTTAAAAGTTAGCAGTCTATTAACTTAAATAAAAAGATGCATGAAAAGAACAATGGTTGGGGAGACTCACCGAGAAAAAGGTAAGTCCCTGATTATCTTTTCAGGCACTCATCTAAGATGTTTGGCGGGGCATTTTGAAGAACAGTTTTGACTAGTCTATGGCCACACTCTGGTTACTAAAAATCGGTCCTCCAACGATCGCCGAATTTGAAAGGGCTTTTTGAAGCCTGGAATGATGCAAAGCAGAACCAGGCGGTTTGCCACTGGACGTTTTTAAATTTGGGAGTAGATAACTACTGACTAATGTGAGCGATGGAGATAAAGCTAAAATATGCGAGCCAGATTGATGTAGATCACTAATTACTTCAGCTCAAAAGATAGGAAAGAAGTCTTTATTCGCTTCTTTTCATAGTGTACTTTCAGTTCATCGAGAAATGTATACGTTTACAGTCTGCTTATTAGGTTTGTCGGTTCAGTATGAATTCGTCCTCTAAAAATCCAGTCCTTCGAACCTTTTCCATGCTAACCTGCTAGATAAAGGTACCCAAAACGTTTTGTAGAAATGCAATACTACATCAAATCAAAATCTTGCATTACTGTGCAACTGATAGCGACTTACGATATTTCTGCGTTCTTTACCATCTGTCAGCTAGGTCTGTCTTCACATACCTGTCTTTACGATTTCCCGTTTTCATTTCACATCCTCTCTATGCATCCGAATATCTACGGAAATACATGCAGTACTAGTCGTTGAGATTGTTGAAAAACGAACTCTGTTGCTGTTGTTAAATGTGTGAAGGGTTTCATTTAGGCTTAATTGGTTTGTTTTCACTACCACTAACTGCTTTTATGACTGAACACAAAACACATCTGCTTGGTGGTAATCTAGTAGTAATGCATACCAGCTTAACCGTGTTATTAGACAATGATAATCGTCACTTGTGTTAATTAGTCTATTTGATTAAGTGGTAGTTAGTGGAGAAGTAACTCATTGGTTTAAGCATGACTTCTAGGTAATGGTCCAAATGGTTCCAAATCCTTCTCCACTCACTTTGGTCGAAGCTACCGAGAAAGCCCTCACATAATTAGTGTAGCTCATAGCTGTATTTAGTTGAGTGGCGTCACTTGATTTCTGTAGTTAGTTGATATTTCAGTTATTAGTTTTTCACGACAGTGGTTGAAGATAGATGACCACTATTAACCATTCAGTAGTTAATGTATTCATTCTCCTTTGTATTTAAGTTTTTTTTGAATTTCTCATCTAATAGTTAAAGAAAATGGATATTCTTTGTTCCTTAATGCTCACAAAAACATATAATGTGTCCCGTGAATTCAGATAAAATGTTGAGGCTGTTGTAAATGAATGTATATGAGACGTATTCCCTAAATTATTTCAAGGTACACGTTTCACCTCAGAATGGTTGAATATAAATCTTTTGCATGTTTCATTGTGACTACAAGGAACAGTAACATGGAATTAATAACGCTACTTTTTTTCTCCTAATATCAATCAAGTGCTTGTGGTGTATCCCGTAGTGTTACGTTAACTTTGGCTTATCTGATGACCATTACAAGTATGTCCCTACCAAACCTCGTCCGAGCTGTTGTTGCCGCTAGACCGTGTGCCTGCCCAAATAGTGGATTTTTGGTAAGTCTGATAAATACCATAATTACTCCATGTAGCTAGTTCTGGAATGCAAATTTCTGCATCACAAAAAAACTATGCTGTTTTTCAGATATTATATGAAAGTTAAAAGTAGTACATTTAACCACGGTTCATCCGCTCATTGATAATTTATCAGGTAAAAGGACTGACAACTAAACTGACTACGCAATAAACTAATCATCATTAATAATAAATTAGTTACCATCATCAATTCTCTCTCAAATTTGGTAGTAAACAGTGCATTAGCTCCCCCCCCCTTAAGAAATGATTCACTTAACTATGAAACTCTCCGAAATAGAAATTAAACACCACACTGGTTGACAGTAATTCTATCTATAAACGGTCTGTTATTCATACTGGGGAATAATGCCATCTAAATATTTTGCCTAAGTGGCATATATCAATGCCAATTTGCCCGACAGTGCTTTTTTTCTGAAGACTGCTTTGTTTGCATTAAAAAAAATCCTAAGGTCCAGTGGAGCCTACGGCTTATTGGTCTAGGGAAGTGACTTTCAGCCAGTGGGTCACGAGTTCGAGCCCCGTTCCGCCTGCTGAGGTTTAGGCAGCCAGTTAGTATCATTTGCCCTCACATAATAGGTGTGGCTCATTGCCTGCTGCATAAATGTGTACAAGGTTCCTGAGTGGACTTTGAATCCTAAAATTCAATCCCTATTCAACTTCAGTAACTTCAAAGTTACAAGTGGACCAATATTCACATACAAGAAACTGTGATTATCAAACCTTTCACTAGTTCTGTTGTGTATATGAACCAGTCTTGAACTACTTGTTTCGTCGGTGGCATTGTTTGTTGTTGTACTCGCAGTTTTCACCTCAGTAGGGCTTCCAGAGAATTATGGAATCTGAGTACTGAGTTAGGAGGAAGCAACCACATTACATATTCGATTATTTAACAGCTTAAGGCAAGGAGATTTCATATAGCCAACCGTCTGAATTTCTTGTCCAACAGAGTTTTTACTCCTAAATACTTACACATCTTTGTGATTCACGCGAAGCATAGCTTGGTTCTATAAGGTTACGAAATCTTTCACTCCTTGAAGAGCTTTCATCTGGATATCATCATTTGAAGATTTAGAGGGAAATATAAAACAAGCTGAATGATATTGGAGCGTTGTAGGTATAAGTTTTAGATCGCAGTATGTGATGGCATTGACCTTCAACAGATGCTTCAACGGATTCTGCCGCTAGCCACAACCAAACGAATTACGTTAATTAACATTCAGGCAATATCGGGCGTCCGCATAGGAGTCCATATACCAATAGAGATCGAACAATTCGATCCAACAAAACAACGGAGAATTACAAGTGTGGCAATAAATACTAACAGATACTTCTTATGTTTTCTGGATAGTTACAAAAATCCTTTATTGCTATTAATATGTACCGCAAAAGCTTTTTCCTCTTAATGATCCTACTAACGGAAGACGACTTCTGTAAACATCATCTACAGGATGAAGAGGTTGAAATATGAACAAGACTGGTATGAGTATAGGAGTAAAACCTGAGCACTGTGGTAGATTGTAATTCCGTTTTAGCCTGTTTATTAGAAATGTCGCAGTGATACAGTGTCATCTACTGAATAGTGTTTCGGAAATAATCTATTGTCCATATTTATATCATGTAACTTCACAACTTTGAGACAGTTTATATAGTTCTTGATATGAGAGTATAAAAAAGCCATAATCAAATGCTCAGAATTTCAATGATAGTGATCGGGGTTGGAGACTGTAGATGATATAGCTTAAAACTGATATCAGTGGCGCAGATATATGCACACATTATTCACATCTTAACCACTATACTTAATCTCATCATTTCCTAATTCCTCCTTCCTCTCTTTCTCTACTTCTTTCGACCGATTTTTCTTTCCTCTTCCCATCTTCCATCTTATTGCCTTGTTACTTGATGTGTTAATATGAGGTGTGGTAACTTGGACCGTTACACAGTAATGCCTGGCCCTATGTTGATTTTGATGATGATAATAATGATGAATATACATGGATAACTGTAATCGCTTACATCTTGAGTAACCCAGTGAAGCAGATAACAATCAAGCTTATAACTGGTTAACTTTATAAGCTAGGGTTTGATATACCGAAATCCTTTATTAAAGTCTATCTGCGAGTCACGTTTAAGAGGTCATTACAACCTAGAAAGATATTACTGCGCATGAGAACATCGACTATATGACTACTGAAGTGGGTTGTTATCAGTTTCACTGCTGTTTTTCTGAATAAAACAACAAAGAATTGTAGCTCATTGATCTGGACAATTAACTTTCAACCAGTGGATCCTGGGTTCAAATATCCCTACACCTACTGATAGTGGATACAATTAAGTAGCATCATATGCCACACACAGTACATGATTCTTGAGTTGGACTGAGACATAATTATCTTGCTTATTTCTAGGGCAAATGCAACCTATAAATGTCTTAATTCCATTGTACTTACATGGCTTGCATCATCATGATTTGTTTTCGTAAAACATGAAATCATTCAACATCAAATGATTAACTCCTGATGTCTGTGAGGCTGAAATAAACGTGTGTTTGATGCCTTATATTGAAGTCCTGTCATTTCCATTAAGTTTTTTAATAACATTAGGTATTTAATCGTTTCTTTTGTAAAACAGATGTTTAGTGAATTCGGTATTTGCATAAATTCTTACCGATTCTCCATCTCCAGTTGCTTTATATTTATCTGTGCAGGAACAGTTAAGAGAGTATGGGAAATCTGGTGCTGCAGCAAAAGTCAGGCGAGAACTCATTGCTCATTTTGGTGAATGGCCCAAAGAAAAATTAGATGCTGATATTGCTGAATTGACAGAACTCCTGTTGAAACCGGAAAGTACTACGTGTATTGGTGCTACTGGCGGAATAGTGTTACCGGACGATAGTCCAGGTGATGAAAATAATGATCGAAAAGAATCTGATAACAGCTCTCTGGCTCATCGGAACTCACAGATAAGCAACAGAAAACCAGAGAGTTTTACAGTCTACTCAGACAAACCATTATATATGCAAAAAATACTCGCCGAATGTGAGGATATCATACCGGCAACATCATCACCGAAGGTGTACGACTGAAAGGGCGATAAGTAAATCGGTTGAAATCTTTTTTTAAAAAAATCATATTTCTAACTTGCTATCAATAATATTATTACCATCACTACTATTGTAATATGATTACGACTACTTGCAAACCCTTTATGAACAGGTTTCTGTCTTTATTTGTATTTTTTTTTCTATCCTTTCCCTGTATTTTGTGAATCCGCTTAACCACTTGTGTACAGTCTGTTTGTTTCTTTTATCAGTTTTTTCTTTTTCATAGTTGAAATTGCTATGGAAAGAAAAACAGCGATACACCACCTACATGTTATTACTCCACTTCTTAGAGATACTTTGTCCACTACACAAAAGCATCTAACTTAATGACTAGTGAACTGAACAGTAACTCTAGTAATAACCTAAGTATTTCTATTCTGAAATATTTCTACATGAATCATTAATTTTTTTCGAGGATGGATTTAACTTCTCTCCATTTTGTTCAGTTGTAGTTTGGGTTTCTGCTTGCAAACCAGTCATCTTTACCTGTTTGTTTTGGGGGCATTTTGAGTCAGTAGTTTCGAGATATTCTTTTTATCATTAGTTGTGCTTTCTTTCACCTTAGCTTCTGTAGGTGTAAAAAGTACTCAGTAAAAATCAATGATTATAGAGGGTCTTGGTGATACGGCTGAAATCAGTAACAATGACGGAGATGTATACATACTCTTTATCATCCTCGAAGTCTTGAACATTCTTAGCAACCCTCATCTGTTTATGCTGTCTCTTTTCCATAACTTTTCATTCGTTTTCTATCCACCTTTTTCTTTTAATTCTACTATGAAATGATGCATTTTTTGTGCCTGCTTCTATTTTTAACTTATCTATCTTTCTGATCAAATTTACTTCTAACATCACAACCCATCACAGTAGTCAGTCGAACTCAAATGTTATGAATGTAATTTTGCGAAGCTGTTAGAACCGTTTTCATCTATATGTTGCAAGTAACTTATGTTATCTGTTTTATACTAAGTGAATTGCACTAACCTGTAACTAACTAGGTTACACCGATTTTTAATATCAGATATTTTAGTGTTTATCTTCCATATTTGTTCTGACGAGTTGTGTTTGGTGGGTGATGAACAAGTTTATTTACGCTTTGCTAACAAAGTTCATTATTCATTACCATGGTGAAAAAGATAAGGTTAGAATTACTCCCTTCGATACAGTCTGCTCTCACCTTATACAATCAGTCATGCAAGAAGTATTGATTGATAGGTGTGGCTTGTAAGATTTAATAACGCTAACTTGTCTATACTTCTAGCTTCTTTTGGAGTTTCCATTCATCTTACATTTCAGCTTGATAATTACCGATAGGTTTCAATTACCAAGGCATGTAACTGTTATCTAAAGTAGGTGTACGGTTTCCTTTTTCATGAAAATTCACCTTCGTATGCATATTATCTGTCCAGTTCATCAGGAAAACATAACAGTCACCGTCTGAATTCAAACTATTTTGATTATCTTTATGTTACATGTTTAAATTATCTGGGTTTGGCAGCCTAAAATGGGAACCTGTAGGCAGTTGGTTCGGTAATAGGTGCCTACTGTGCTCTACAATGTATTTCAAAAGCATAAAATATTTTAATTCATCAATAGCTAACAACACTTTAACGTGTATAATGCAAGAGATAGCATATTAGACTAAAACAGCTAGAAACAATTCGTTATATTTGATAAATGACTATCTAGGTTTATGTTCATTTCAGTGACTAGTAATGGAGTCCAGAACGTGCATTTCGCTCTACTTAAAACTCGTCAGTTGGGTGCGCCCACACCCCAGTGAGTGATTTCGTTCCCACTGAAACTCGAACGCAATACTCATAGCTTGAAATGCCAAAGCATTATTCACTGGGGACACGATAGTCCCCTCTTGTGCAACGGGTATTGTTACTTGATATTTGTGATATCCTGTTGCTATACAGGACCGAATTCCACTGCCATTTACCAAGAAGAACATAACATGAATATCCTGCAGTATCGAGGTGTTTGTATACCAGCCCATCTGCCAACAGACGTCAGACAGTTCGACCCTGTCTGATAACGAGAAATTACAGGTATCAAATAACTACCCAAGGATTGTGACGTTTCATGGAATTTTCGTTATGATCTCATACATTATGACTTCCTTGTAAGTATACAATGTAAGGCTGAAGCCTGTGTCACTTTGATAGGGTTTAGTTCGTGATTAGTACAACGCGGTGATTAAAAAATGTGTTTGTGCTATAGGCTTTTGAATGCGGCTGTTTTTTGAGGACTCATTGCTTGGATTGTAGCAAGGTGATGAGTTTAGAAGCATTTTCTGGTTTGCTTTTTATTGATATGTTTGTTGGCTTAATGTACTTGAGTTAAAATTAGATACATGGGTATGTAACAAAAAAAGAAAGTGAATTCCATTTTAGTAGTGCCCCTCATGAATATTCATCTCAGTAATTAGTCTCACATCCTTTTTGGAAAGTACCGTACATCTTACCTATTGCTCATGTTAAGAATGACTACTTTCACTTATTTGTAAACTATGTTGCGCGAAATTTCTCAATTATCCTAAGCTACTTAAACAAAACAGAAAACTCCGTCATCCAAATGGTGCAATATTGATTTTTGTCTTGTCGGAATGTGAGGATGGACAGTCGAATAACATGACAGTATTCAATATTGCATGAGAAGCAGTGGCTTTCATTGCACTTAATTAATTTAGTTGACAACGTGTTTCTATCTTCACAAGTACTGATTAACTAATTGTATTCACATAGATCTAATTGCCACGCTATGAAGCACATTTGTTTTATGGATTAGTGGGCTACTAGTCGCCTTCGTAAACTAAATTTGCGGAAATTATAATGTAACTGTTAGCAGATATGTATTAAGTCCATGGATAGTACTGGCTTGAGTATCTATTTCACTGCCTAGTCACTTTATTATTTTCTGCTTTCCGATTAGTAGTCCACATTTTTACTGGTACATTCTTCTTTCCTCATCTTTGTTGTAATGCACAAATCGTAAATCTTTCTTGCATACCTAAGCTTTCTCATTGTATTCTTTCTCCCGAGTTCTAAGTCTGAAAAGTACCATCTAACTTTATCCATCATTTAGTTTTTATTTTCCATCAAGACCTACATACCGTTTATTCGCTCCTTATTTCCAACCTGAAAATATTTTCTTATCATTTAGAATATTATTGACATTTTTGGTACCACCAAGTTACTGTTTAACAGTTCAGTTGTGATAAAAATCTACGAAAATGATACCTTCTGCTGATTAGTGTTTTCTTATATTTCCATCGTGTGGGTATTTTTTTTTGTAGAAATCCAATAATTCAACTTACCTTACCTAAGCCTTTGTGAAAGTTGACTGATACACTCATTATGATCACTGATCTCACAGTTCTGACTTGAGTTTTGTGAGATATTCATTGGGAGACTTGGAATCTCCGTGAATAAAGGGAAAAGCTTTAGGGAGCCCACAAAATTCCAGAATGAATTACTGTCTAGTGCCTATTGATAACATTCTTTGAGCTATGGATTTCCCGAAGTTCTGATGAGAAGCCATGAACTTTGAGATCAATTAAGCATTATGTGGCGACGAATACTCGCCGTTGAGTTGACAGGAGTAGGAAACTGCTGACAGTTGGATTCTGACTAGCTGGCTGAATGGTACTACGCTCACTTAGGGACCTGAAGATCCTTAGTGATGTAGGTATGCACTGCTGAGGAGTTCCAAGGGGGGGGGACGAAACTACTGATCAGTCATCCTTCAACTAGTGTAGTTGGTGATGATGATGAATACTACCTTGAAATCAATCACTACCTGCAAACATCTGAATCACCACCCTTTGTTTGGGTGATGTTTCGGTAAACTTTCTACTAACTAACCAACCATAAGTCTATAATCCCAAGTTGCAGGTTACCAACTTCAGTTCAGTAGTTTCAGTTGCAGACAAACTTCGAGGTAGTCTGCTCAATGAAGTGATATCAACTGAATGAACATAGAAAAGTGTGGAGCAATGGACAACTGTATCCTTTCACTTTTTCAGTCAGTAAACAACAGAATATTTTCAAAGGTATCATCGTCCCTATAATTCCTGGGAGTTTCGGATTTGACTGCATCAGTTGACTAGCTGGCGCACCGACTAGAGATTTTCAAGAGGAAATGAAATTATTTCTAAGCCTCCTTTACTTTTAATAACCAACCAAATTATGTTACAACGGTGCACATCGTTGTGTATCTGATTTTAACTGTGTTTGGAGATCTCATCCCTCACTCACTTGAACGCACTCATATAACAACTTCGACGCATGAACATTTTTGATTATTTTGAAAAGTTCCTCTGTAAAAGTAAGCGCAGTTACAGGCCTCTGCCAATCTTACAAAACAGCTTTTTGAAGCCATTTAGGTGCATGTTCTTGAGCCCTCAACTCCATGGTTGAATCACTCCTTCCTATGCTTGTGTGACCACACGCATCTAAACTGGTAAATACAATGGGAAACGATGCACTCATTTATGCAATGTTCAGGTTTGTGGTGAAGCATGTTTTGTTTTTCTCACAATAATAGGCTTAGCTGCATAATATGTTCTCTTAATAGCTGATGTTAAACTATGTCTCAAGATTATACCATTGCTCTCCCCTTTGTATGGTAAAGTGAGTTGGACATTTTGTTAGGAACCGTGCATAGAGTTAGTTTTGGTACCAACTAACTTCTACAACTATTTGCGAACTTCAACGGTTATTTGCTTTCCATAAACGCTTTGGTCAGTAGTTTGACATCATTCAGAATGACTTTAAAGGCCCACCCTACCAACTACTGAAATAACCAATCAGGTTCAGATATTCCGCCTGGGAGAGTAGTTTTCATTAAATAAAGGAACGTAATTGGCTATGTGAACAGTTCCTAGGGTGGCCTTTGAAGTCGCCCCTCATTCATCGTATCTTATGTAAAAATTTGATAGATCCTATTAAACAGGCATTTTATTAGACCTCGCTTGT